TTGTACTCCAAGAAGAAATATAGGTTTTCCATTTAGTCTCAGCTACAGGTTTTTATTATAATCTGTTGCCAGAACTGCTGTTCATAGGTGTGTGTGTGTGTGTGTGTGTGTGTGCAGGTGCACGCTAGTCTGTTGGTATTGTAAAAGAAAGAAGGAGTTTTATTAGTATGAAAAGAACATTCTCTTGAAACACAAGCCCCAAAGCAGCATTCTTGGCCACATAATCTGCAAAATTATTTCCTCAATGTTGGCTTTGGAATTTTCAGGAATTTTTATAACAGTGGACTGTTTTGGCATTTGTACTGCTTCTAACAATTCTGATACCTGTTGCACATTACATGTAGGTTGTCTTGAGGAAATAAGGAAACCTCAATGTTTTCATAACATGACATAGTCACGGGCTACCCCAAAGGCATATATGCTATCAGTATATGTATGGCAGTTTTGTCTTCAGCTAATTGGTGTGCTTTAGTTAACACCATTAGTTCAGCATATTTAGTTCTATCGATTTGGGCATTTTCTATAATATGTATTAGAGAGGTAGTGAAGTATTCAGACTGACAAGTCTCCCTTTCACACCCTAAATATGATCCACCGATAAATCATATCAGATTAGCATTTTTAATTTAAACATTTATTTATTTATTTGAGAGTTAGAGTTACAGAGAGAGAGGAGAGAGAGAGAGAGAGAGAGAGAGAGAGAGAGAGATCTTCCATATGCTGGTTAACTCTCCAAATGGCTGCAATAGCCAGAACTGGGCCAATCCGAAGCCAGGAGTCAGAAGCTTCTTCCTTGTCTCCCATGTGGGTGCAGGGGCCCAAGGACTTGCACCATCTTCCACTTCTTTCTCAGGCTCATTAGCAGGGAGCTGGATCAGAAGTGGAGAGGCTGGGACTCAAACAGTCACCCATATGGGATGTCAGCACTGCAGGTGGTGGCTTTACCCTCTATGCCACAACATTGGTCCCATCAAAACTGTAATTTATCCTTCTACATTTTATGTCCCTTTAAGGGCAATTGTAGCAAACATAAAGTGTCCTTTTGACAGGCTAAAATGGGTCTGAACAGAGTAGTAGATCATCCACATATAAAGCTGGATTTGTAAGGAAATTTTCTATCACATAAGTGTACCTTTAATATTTGAGAAAAGTAAGTAGAGCTTCAGTGTATCCTTGTGCCATGGCTGCCCAAATGTACTGGTGGTCTTTCCAAGTGAAATAAAATAAATAGTGACTATCTTGAGCAACAGGTATATTGAAGAATGTGCTGCAAGACTCAGTGATGGAGAACAGCATTCAGAGGGACATTGGAGTACTGTATGTGGTTTTGGGACCACTGGGTGTCTAAGGAGTCTGATTTCATTGATGACTCAGATTTTGTACAAATCTCCAGCTCTCCCCATGAGGTTTATTTTTCTTTATTATGAGATGAGAGAGAGAGAGAGAGAGAGAGAGAGAGAGAGAGACTCGTATCTACTTGTTTCCTTCACAAATGCCTGTAATGGCTGAAGCTGGAGCTGAAATTCAGGAAATGCAATCCAGGTATTCCATGGAGATGTCAGGAACCTAATTACCTGAGCCATCATTGCTGCCTCCCAGGGTCTGCATTGGTGGGAAACTGGCATTAGGAGCCAGAGCTGGAAATAAAAATTTGGCACCCTGATGTGTGATGCAGGTATCTTAACTGCTGGGCTAAATATCTTCTCCTTAACAAGAAGAATAAATGTGCTACATGGACTGGTGTTTGGTATAATGTTAACTTATTTATGTATTCTTGAATTATAGGTTTTATTCTTAATATAGCCTCAAGTCTAAGAGGATATTATCTGATGTTAAGAAAAACTTTGAGTTACCTATAGTCATCTCTATGAGTGTGGCAGATTTAATTTTGTCTATGTCTGTAATAGAAAGGGCCATACGGTGTGTAGTATGAGGGATCCTAGTATCATTTAAACTTAAGAACATTTCTCTTTTTATAAAATGAAATATAGGTTTCATGAATTTCTAAAACATCTCTATTTATTGGGTGAAGAGAGGACCTATCTAAGTTTATTGCAATCACTTTTTATGTTCTCAGGTTTTTAAAAATAGTGTTTCCAGTTTTAGATGTTTGAGTTGAAAGGTTTTATGATTTTCTCTCACCAGGGAACTTAGCTACTTTCATTACAAGCACATGATTTTGGAGAATTCCTTCCTTCCTTCCTTTCTTCCTTCCTTCCTCTCCCTGACTCTCTCTCTCTCTCTCTCTCTCTCTCTCTCTCTCTCTCTCTCTCTCTCTCTCCTTCTCTCTCGGATAATTTCTGAGCTAGAATTTATCAGTGGGAAGATATGCCCAGGGTACATTCTTTTTGTTAGGGTAGTTCATTCGACAACAAACTTTTCTGTGAAGCCAAAATTGAGAAGGGTGTCATTTCAGTGATTTTCAGGGGGAAGTTTCAGGTGTCATTTAAAGGTCATTTCAAAGCAAATTATAAGAATCAGGAATAGTTTCATTGGGATTTATCTTGCACTATTGTCTGTTAGACCAGTCTATGACTCAAGAACATGCTTTGAACAGCACTGTACATAATGGATCACCAAACTCCCTGCAAGCATTCCAGGCATCAACATCTATCTTCTCAAAATCATCTACTGATTTCTTCCAATATGTTGACTAAGCCATTCTTCAGATTTACTCCCTGACGTCAACAATTGAATTAACTGATATAGGTCAAGAGTACCCAGGGTCATAAGTTCTGAGAGTAATCTGAAATCCTTTGGCAAATCCTAGCAGGTCTTGTATTGGACTAGGGAACCTGAGACTAAGGCTTTTAATTCTGTTTTTGTCCAAGAAGCATGGATAGTACTTGGTTCCCCATGTCCATTGGGTTTGGTTCTAAAAGAAGTAATTACAGCATTTGTCACTTCATCTAGGTTTTCTTTATTTTAATTAATTGGCGGTGAGAGTTCAGATGGAGGAGAAAGAAGAAAGTAGGGATCCAGAGTATGAGGTAATTCCAAGAGAAGGATAGAGATGAGCTATAGGTTGATAAAGTGGGCATGAAAATTCAAAGGTGGTTGATTTTTGTGTTACAACTTCAGTTACCTTTTAGAGTTCTGAGACACTTTCCCAAATTTTTTATCCAGTTCTTACAATGAGGTTAATTTATGATTTCCTCTATTTGATGCCTCAAGATAACAGTCAAAACAACTTTCACATTTTTTATCTTTTGTTCAATATGTTAGTCTTTATAGCTCTGACCTAAGAAAGCCTAACTTTGAAATATCAAATGTTCCCCCATTTTAGAATGATCTTTTGTAAGACTGTCCCATTTACTGAAATACTTGCAGGTAAATGCACTATAGTTACTAAACATAAAGCCAGTTCATGTGCCAGAAGGAGGTTGACCTTCTTGTTTCTTGGTTTTTGAAATCTGATTGCCCAATTTTGGAGGAGAGTTACTGGACTCTCCTGAACTATTAATCATTTGTGGTGGATGAGAATGTGCTATTTGGGGTATTTTTCTTTACCTATCTCATGTGTCTCGGTTTTCTTCCCACAGAAGGCTCAAAATGCCTGGTGATTAGCCTCTATATTTGTTTCTTGGATGAGCGTATTTTAATTATCTGGTTGGAGTTCCCTGGAGGGCCACTGAAGATCATAGGAGGATAACCTGGAAACTCCGACTAGATCCTTTGTCATCCAGGGGTACTTTTTGTCTGGGAGGAGCTGATGAACTCAGCCTTTCAGTTTTTGCTGGAAAAGCTAGTAAAGTCCAATATTTCTTCTAGCTTAATTACAGTCAACTGAAAGGAACAAGAAGATACTTCTTTGATGCATGATTTAAGATTATGAGAAAAAAAGTTTCCTTACAATTTCTGAACAAAAAAAGACAAAAATAACCAAGAATCTAAGGGGAAATCAACCAAAGAAGAGAGGTCTGGAGGCCCAGAAGGACTTACCTATTCCTCCCAAGGGTGAAGTTCAGGATCAGTGTGGCATAAGGAACCTGAGCTGGCATAAAGTGCCAATTCAAGTGTGACTCCTCTGGTGGTCCCAGGTCTTCTCTAGGGCACCAACAATTGTCGATGGAAATAACAATAGGCTATGTAAAAAGGCTAACATAAGGTTATTCATGCAGATTATGAGTGACCTAGATCCAGGAGACACAAACAGAACAGCCTGTATGACGTCGTGGAAAGTGTTCCAAAGTGACCAGATTTTAGTTAGAATGTATGCATTTTATAACAGTAAATTTTCCTTTATCATTAAACAGTAAGCATAAGTTGAGTTGGTCTGCAAAGGTAGACTTAGGTAAGTGGAAGAAAATTTCTCATAGGTCAGAGGCTGTTGCTTTTGTAGCATGCTTTGTAACAAACATCTTTAGGGCATTGTGTGTTGAAACAAAGGCTACTGATTAATTTTAAGAAGGACATTTTGGGGAATAGATATGAAAAGGAATGTACAGATAAAGAAAGGATCTTAGTGTTCTAGATGGCTAAGATGAAAACAGACCCTTTACTCAACTCACATTGACCTAGTGGTAACTCCTCACATAGGTCTCTGTAGATGTTTCTCTTTAATGCTTTGCCAGTTTTTTTTTTAATGGGCAGTTTGTTCTCATGGTTAAGAGCATGAGCTCTGGAACTAGTATGGATTCTTTCCTGGTGTAGAATTCACTTGATGTTTGACTTTCGTCAAACATGCCTCCATATCTCAGGATCTTCCTCTGAAAATGATGACTACACTGTCCACTTTTTTTTGACTATTGTAAAGGGTGAATGTGAATGTAAATGCACCCCTGGGTTATGGGTGAATCTACAAATCTAGTGAAACATGTAGACAATCTTTCCAAAGGTGGGCTTTTGTTGGAGGGTTAGAGAGTACCCACGAAGGAATCTGGGAGGCAATCACAGTATTGATATGGAAAGAATCTGGTTACTGAGCAGTGGGGGCAGCATTGCTGGGGGTGTGGGAATGTCTATTTGTTCAGTTATCTGAGAGCTCATTTGTCTTCCAGCCTGTGCATCATGAATGACAAGCTGTTTATGCAGAACACCAGAACCCGAGAGCCTCAGAGTGCCTTCTCCATCTCAGTGCCCACACCCTGCTCCAGCTCCATGCCTACTCTCTCTCAGGCACAGCAAGAAATGGTGCAGGCTTTGTCCATTCAGTATGGAGTGAACCTCGAGTGGTCTCAGAAGTGAGTGTTAGGTGTGAACTGCCATAGATATGAGCTGAGAGGAATGGAGGAATGAATAATGGAACTTTGCAGCTAATTGGTTTTGCTTCTTTACCTCATTCATTACCACACTGAAAATTTCTCTTAGTACATATTGAACTACCTTGTTGTTTTGAACAAGTGTGTGTTACCTTCATGAATTCCATGGCCCAGTTCCTTTACTGGGAAACTGTCGCTCCCCCTCTTCGTGGAGGAACGACACAGGACCCTGCGCTGTTCTTTCGTCTGCTCGGCCCTCCCCGGGTTTGCTGCTGGTTCTTCCCGGGTTGGCTACTATCCCTTCCACCTCCGTGGAAGGGCAGTTCCCCCTGGCCACATTCCCCACTTCCGCAGGGGAGCGGCACACCGCCGGCCGGCTTTCTCGGGGGCTGCACAGGTGTTCCCCTTAGATGTTCCCCTTAGATGTTTCCGGTGCATGCCGTCTCTCTCCTCCTTTATAGTCCTCCTCTGCCAATCCCAACTCGGCTGCCCACATGCCGAGTACGCTGCTCTCCTCCAATCGGTAGCAAGTCCTACAGTTTATTGGTTGAACTGGAGGCAGCTGTGCGGAAGCTGTTTACTTCTCTCCCAGCGCCATATTGTGGGAGAGCAGATGCATAGAATAAGTCCCAATTCCAGTAACTTAGTCTAGTCCGAATTGCTCCCCACAGGAAACATTTGTTTTTCGGGATTTTTCTCTATAACACAGTGTGCCACAGGGTTCATTCTGCTGCATGTGTTGCAGTAAACAAGGAGGCATGTCAACATCACATAGATTAAGAAATGGTACTGTGTTGTCAGAGTATCTCCACTGGATTCTAATGGATGTCATGTGTCTTTTCTGCACTCCAGATGTCTTCATGACAACAACTGGGATTATGCCAGAGCTGCTCAGTTTCTCACTCTGCCCAAGGTGAGGTCTGGCAATTACAGTCAAGAGAGAAAAGTCAGGGTGGCCTGAGGATGGTGCCAAGGCCTTGGCTCTGTTAATTTTCCATCTCTCCTCTTTACTTCTTCCAGGTCAAGGGCAAGATGCCAGGGGAGCCTCTCAAACAGGCTGATCCAAGATCATGAGAGTAAAGCCCTGAGAAGTACCCAGTGTAATCATCATGGTCAGCAGCAGCAATAGCAGCATCTTCATCATCTTTGTTTTTTTTTTCTAGTATAAATATTTCCCCATGATTGAACTTAGAGGCCTCGAGGGGGCCAGGAAGTCAAAGTCTATCTTGTAGGGCTGAGCCACATCCATTCAAAGGGCCAGTTGTTTTGTGTATGTGGGTACTTTCAAAAAGTTTGTGAAAAAGTTCATGTTATGAAAAAATCATGCATGGATTTCAAGCTTTTTTTCACACCCAAACAAACATCTCTCTAAAAAAGATTTAGTTACTTATTTGAAAGGCAGAGTGACAGAGTGAGCAAACAAGCGAGCAAGTGAGCAAGAGGTCTTCCATCTGCTGATTCATTCTTCAAATACCTCCAACCACTTGGATTGGGCCAGGCCAACGTCAGAGCCCAGAACTCCCTCTGGGTCTCCCACATGGGTGGTAGGGGTCCAAGCACCTGGACCATCTTCCACTGTCTTCTGAAGGCACATTAGCAGGGAGGTGGATGGGAAGTGGAGCAGCTGGAACTCAAACCAGCACTCTGATATGGGAGACCAATATCACAAACCACAGCTAAACAATACCTATTCTGCTGCTAAACTTATATTTTAATTCCATATTTCTACATATTTTAAACTGCCTTCATATTTGTCCCTCCTCCCTAGGATATTTGTTTCTATTCATAATAAAGTGTGTTTTGCCTGTTATGTTAAGTCCCTGCAAAAAATCCATTGGATACAGGCTTTATCTCTGTTCTACAGAGGAAAAAAGACTGCTGGGAAACAGTGGAGTACAGACTCAAATCCAGTACAGGAAATAGTATTCTTTTCTTATCCACACAAATATATTAAATTTGAAAACAACCCACTTGGGGAAAAAAATAAGCAGTACTAAAGAACATATGGAAACCTGTGAAGAAAATATTGCCCATAAATGTGACTGACATATAATTAATATGATTAATATATAAAATGACATATAATTACATCTGAAATATATAAAATCAGTAGAGAGAAGGGAAATTGATATCAACTTAAGTTGTTATTAAAAGCAACAGTAATGCCTGGGAAGTGTATGAAAAGTTATTTAGCCATAAAAACTACTAACTTAACTACAAATGTGATAAAATGTTAATTTAGAAAAGAAAGCTAAAGCTTGCTAATTTTAGAAAAAATGCATTTAATTTATATCTTCCTGAACAGGTGTGTGCAAGTATGTGTCTCTATTTTGATGTATTAATTTCTTAAATCTGTCATAATAAAGTAACTCAAACTGGATGGCTTAAGGCTGCATAAGTTTATTTTCTCAAAGTTCTAGAAGTCAGAAATAAAAAATCAAGGAATATACAATGGAACCATGTTCCTTGCAAATCTCTGAGGGAGAATCCTCCTGGGCTTTTCCAGATTCTGGTGTTCTTTGCCTTGTGGCTGCATAGCTCATATTTCTGCCTCCCTTTTCACATCATCTTACATTCGCCTCTGCGTTTTTCCTTTTCTCATTCAAGGTCATCCTTTATCAGATGTAGCGCTCACTCTAGCTCACAGTGTCATCTCAAGATACTTACCTTACTACCTGAAAATACTTTATCCTAAATAAGATCATATTCTCCGGTTCCAGGAGGACATATATTTTGGAGACTGTTTTTCAGCTCCCTACTTTGTACCCCTGAAAATGTTCATCCATTGCATGTGAAAAATACACTCTCTCCATCCCACCAACTTCTGAAGTTAATGAATTCCAATATCAACTCTAAGTCAAATATACTATCTTAATATTTTCAACTAAAAAAAGTCTCAAATTGCATCATCTACATTATCTACATCAGTTATTGGTGAGACTATTGAGTATGATCCACGTGGGACCAAAACTTCTCTTCAGCTGAGGACTTTTAAAGCCACAACACCTCTACTTCCTAAATTATTAATGGGACAGGCATGGGATACACATTCCAATTATGAAAGGGAGAACATGAAAATATTAAAAGGGTCCCATGCAAGTTTAAAATGTAATCCATTAGATTTCGAGACCTGGTAATTATCTTCTGTGATTCAATGCCTTGTTCTCTGAGCCAATAGAAATGTCACTGCTCTCTCTGGTCTCTGTATCTCTGGTTCTGGTCTTTTAGTCATTCTTCCTTTCCCTTGAAGGATGACACATGTTAGCAGCCATATAGCTCTTTCATTCTTTTTACTGCAAGTAAAATTCCAGACATCTCACAGCCTTCCTTACTTTTGTCTTTCTTTTGTTGCCCTGAGGTCAAGCTGGCAGTGTTTTTGGTGGTGCCATCAGACAAGAGGGCTTTCCACATATCCCTCCTAGATAAACCCATCTCTGTTCTTGGATTCTGCTCCACATCCTCACCTGAATTTGGTGCTGTACATGTTCTAGATTTTGGCCATTCTAATAGGTGTATGGTAGTACCACATTGTTGTTTTAATTTGCATTTTCTTGATGACATATAAAGTGGAGTAGCTTTTCATGTGCTTACTTGCCATTGTGTATCATCTTTGGTGAGGTGTATATTTAGATTTTTGGTTCATTTTCAATGGGACTACTTCTTTCTTATTGTTGAGTTCCTTATATATTTTGGATAATAGTCCTCTACCAAATATGTCTTTTTCAAATATTTTCTCCCAGTATTTGGGTTTCCATTTCATGTTGTTGACTGACTTTCATATAACTGAAATTTTTAATTTTAATGAAGTCTAGCTTATCAACTCTTTCTTTCATATATCATGTCTTTGGTGTCACATCTAACAAAGTTAACATCACAGCCGAGGTCATCTAGATTGTACCCTAAGCTGTGTTCAAGTTTTGTAGTTTTTAAGTTAACATTTAGAGCTGTGTTCGGCCGGCGCCGCGGCTCACTAGGCTAATCCTCCGCCTAGCGGCGCCGGCACACCGGGTTCTAGTCCCGGTCGGGGCGCCGGATTCTGTCCCGGTTGCCCCTCTTCCAGGCCAGTCCTCTGCTGTGGCCAGGGAGTGCAGTGGAGGATGGCCCAGGTGCTTGGGCCCTGCACCCCATGGGAGACCAGGAAAAGCACCTGGCTCCTGGCTCCTGCCATCGGATCAGCGCGGTGCGCCGGCCGCAGCGCGCCAGCCGCGGCAGCCATTGGAGGGTGAACCAACGGCAAAAGGAAGACCTTTCTCTCTGTCTCTCTCTCTCACTGTCCACTCTGCCTGTCCAAAAAAAAAAAAAATAGAGCTGTGTTCAATTTTGAGTTCAGTTTTAGGAAGAATGTAAATCTTTAAAAATTCCTTCCTTCCTTCCTTCCTTCCTTCCTTCCTTCCTTCCTTCTTTCCTGTAGATATATGTTAGGTTCATTTTCTCTATAATGTCGATTACTCTGCTGTTTCCTTGCAGATTTTCTGTCTGGTTAATCTGTCTGTTGCTGAAAATGGCGTATTGAAATTCCCCCCATTACTATTGTATTTGAGTCTATGTCTCCCTTTAGATCCCTTAACATTTCTTTTAAAATGACAGATGCTCTATAATTAGGTGCATATACATTTATTATAGTTACATCTTCCTGTTGAATTGATCCGTTAATCATTACATAGTGCTCTTCTTTGTCTCTTTTAACAATTTTTGTGTTAAAGTCTATTTTGTCTGATATTAGGATGGCCACATTAGCTCTTTTTTGGTTTCTGTTAGCATGGAATATCTATTTTCATCCTTCTACTTTCAATCTACATGCATCTTTGTTGGTGAGATGTGTTTCTTGTAGGCGGCAAATAGATGGGTTTTGTTTTTTAATCTATTCAGCCAGTCTGTTTTTTTTTTTTTTTTACTGGAGAGTTAAGGCCATTTACATTCAATGTACCTTGATAAGTAACGACTTTGCCCTGTCATTTTTCCATAAATATTCCTATTTTTTACTTTGTACTTTTACTTGGAGCTTTCCTTTCTTTACCTTCTTCCCTAGTGATGACCATGTTTCTGTGTTTCCGTGTGCAGCACGTCCTTAAGCATTTCCACAGGGCTGAACAGGTGGTGACAAATTCTTTCAGCTCCTATTTGTCATGGAAGGTCTTTATTTCACCTTCATTCATAAATGAGAGTTTTGCAGAGCACAGTATTCTGAGTTGACAATTTTTCTCTCTTAAGACTTGGACTATATCTCGCCATTCTCTCCTAGCCTGTAGGGTTTGTGATGAGATGTCCACTGTAAGTCTATTTGGAGATCCTCTGAAAGTAATCTGGTGTGTCTCTTGTGCACATTTTAGAATTTTTTCTTTACATTTTACTGTGAAGAGTTTGATTACAAAGTGTCATGGTGAAGATCTTTTCTGGTCATGTCTATTAAGAGTTCTAAGTGCTTTTTGTACTGGCTGTCCCTTTATTTCTCCAAATTAGGGATGTTTTCTGTTACTGTTTCACTAAAAAGGCCTTCTAATCCTTTCTCTCTTTCCATGCCTTCCGGAACTCCTAGAACCCGTATGTTGGGTCATTTAGTAGTATTCTATAGATTCCCAACAGTGTTTAATTTCTTCTTCTTGTTTTTTTTCTGACTATGTAATTTCCTGTGCTTTTTCTTCCAAGTCAGATGTTCTTTCTTTCTTCTGCTTCACTGATTCTGTTCTTAAGGCCCTCCACTGTATTTTTTTATTTGTTCTATTGGATTCTTAATTTCCAAGATTTCAATTTGATTTCTCTTTAAGAGAAATTTCGTGGGAGTTTTGTTTCATGTCATGTATGCATTTCATTAGTTCCTGAATTTGCTTCTTATACTTCTAAGTAATCCTATGATCAATTTTTTAATTCCATTTCCGGTATTTCTTCAATCTCATCTTCACAATCTAGCATTGAAGTATTGTGTTCCAGCTGGCGCCGCAGCTCACTAGGCTAATCCTCCACCTTGCGGCGCCGGCACATGGGTTTCTAGTCCTGGTCGGGGCGCCGGATTCTGTCCCGGTTGCCCCTCTTCCAGGCCAGCTGTCTGCTGTGGCCAGGGAGTGCAGTGGAGGATGGCCCAAGTGCTAGGGCCCTGCACCCCATGGGAGACCAGGAGAAGTACCTGGCTCCTGCCATTGGATCAGCACAGCTGCGGCAGTCATTGGAGGGTGAACCAACAGCAAAAGGAAGACCTTTCTCTCTGTCTCTCTCTCTCACTGTCCACTCTGCCTGTCAAAAAAAAAAAAAGTATTGTGTTCCTTTGGGAGTGTAATTTTGTCTTCCTTGCTCTTGTTTCTTGGATGGGTGTGTTTGTTATTTGGCATTTGTGGGGATACTCGTTAGTTTTTCTTTGATTTTTCCATATGGTGGATTTTATGTTTGGAATATGTCTGATCAGATTAGTGGAGTGTCTTCTTTCAGGAATACCTAGAGGCATGTGGTGGGAGTTGCCACGGAGCTCTGTTCAGTGCTCCAGTTTGAAGGGCATGTCTGAGGTGATACACCCAGGTTTGGCATGGTAAATCTTTTTTTTTTTTTTTAATCAGAGGGGACGTTTCTTCTTGTCTGTTGGCATAGACTCAGCTGAGCTCCTCTCCTCAAAGGAGACCAGTGCCTGGATGCTTGCCCCATTGAGCATATTATTTGTCCACTCTGCCACAAGGATCACACAAAGGATTTATGCAGTCCTCAGTGTAAGCTCAGATTCCACAGCAATATCTCTTGCTATGTAACTAGGGAGCCCTGATCATGTGGAGCCTCCCACAGTAACTGGCCAATGTCCAAGCCACACACTGAGTCTTCCCACACAGCGCAGGGTTTTCACAGTCCCAGCACCTACCCTGTGGTGGAATGAGAAGGCCATGCCAAGAAGGCTGTTGGCAAGCGAGCATCAGTTACTCAGGAATGGCTTTGAAAACCACCTGGCAATGGAGCCTGCCTGGCAACAGGCTGTGATTGGATGGTTTTGGAAACCACATGGCAAACGGAGCTTGCCTGGCAGCAGGCTGTGATTGGTTAGGGCATAAACCGCCCCTTGACCGGATTGGCTGTCTTGGCTGTATAAGCTGTTGTACCAACTGAAATAAATGAGTCTGCAGCCTGCTCACCTCTGGCCTGCTTTTACCTGACTCCCGGGGTCTGTGTGGTGACTCCGCGCCTCTTGCCCCCACCACAATCCTCCACTCAGAAGAAATCCACCTCAACATCTGGCGCGCCAACGTGACTGAAAGAGAGAGAGCGTGTCAGACTCAGCGAGTTCCCTCCTGGATTTGGGCAAGTAGGCCCCTCGGTGTTTTGTGTGCTGTTCACTTCTGTGAGGGTGAGCACAGAACCCCCTCCTATGCCCCCTTCCTTGTCTTTGTACTTGGTCTAAGTGACCCCAGGTTAGGCACACACCGCCCAGAAGCGTACGCTGCTTCTCGGCTCCTCTTTTTACTTTCGGTTCGCCCAGTGAATTCACATGAGGGACTGATCATCCCAGAATTCGGAACCAAGTCATCTTCCCTCACTCAAGGGAGGTGACACTCCGGAGACACCATGTGGGCATACAACCTTGACCTAACGAATCAAGGAAGTCCCCCACTAAGCACAGGACATACTTATGATCTGATACACCACTGTCTGTTCATCTAAGGTAAGGAACCTCCTGCAGAATGCCATCAGCCTCTGAGGTGCTAGGAATTTGCTTTGTTATGGCAGCAGTGCTGTGGGTGTCTTTCCTTTGGCTAGAGTTGGCGTGGCACACCGCTCTTAAGTGCTCAGACACGGGAAAGATACCCGCCCCCTCAGAAACCCACGCAGATTACCAAACATAGTGAATCTGTGAGTGATCAGAGCCTGACACTCCAGGTCCCTGTCTCACAGACAACAACTTAGGGAGAGAGAGCTCTGACAGTGAAAATGACAATGTAGCAAACAAGGTAGCAAACAAAGTAGCAAACAATGTAACAAACAATGCAGCAAACAAGGTAACAAACAAGGTAGCAAACAAGGTAGCAATGCCTAGTCACCCCCCCCCCCCCACACACACACACATGGGATGAACTTAGAGGACCTCGAGACAATAACTGATGCAAGGTAATCCCATCGGCACACAGTGAGGATCCCAACATTTGTGGCAGTCCTCGGGCATCCCAGGCTCTCAGGGCAGCTTCTAGACCCCATCCCACCCTCATGTTTGCCGTAAATGTAGGAGTGGACACAAAATTCAGGCCCTGGATTCCAACGCCTGTAAAAAACTTTCTGCTAACCAAGGGTCAAGGATATGCTTGTGTCTTTCCAGAGAATGCAGGACAGCCCATTTGGGTACCAGCCAGAAACATCAAGCCTGCAACTGACAGCCGACCAGAACCAGCTGAACAAGACTGAGAGTCCACCTTGTTAGTGGACGCACCTGCCCTATCATCCTACCCTGAGAAACTGCCCATAGCCACATCCATTACTGTTTTATACCCCACTAGCTCTGGTCAGCCACTCTAATGCCCCACAGCCTCTTTGCAGTCATGCCATTCCTGCTTACCATTGTTCCTCATTCCTATCCCATTTGAACAAGCACTTCTGTGGTCTCTCGTTTTGAGTGCTGGTTAGTCAACAAAGGGTAAGATACCCTGGGGAACAACCTAAGACAGTCATAGCTGCGTGCGGAGACCACATGGAAACGGGGTCAACAATGGTATGGCCAAGAATCATGCCTCCCGTTGCTCAAAAATAAATGAAAAGGGGGAAATGTGGTGGAATGAGAAGGCCATGCCAAGATGGCCACTGGCAAGCGAGCATCAGTTACTCAGGAATGGCTTTGAAACCCACCTGGCAATGGAGCCTGCCTGGCAACAGGCTGTGATTGGATGGTTTTGGAAACCACATGGCAAACGGAGCCTGCCTGGCAGCAGGCTGTGATTGGTTAGGGCATAAACCGCTCCTTGACCGGATTGGCTGTCTTGGCTAGTTAAGCTGTTGTACCAACTGAAATAAACGAGTCTGCGGGCTGCTTGCCTCCGGCCTGCTTTCACCCGACTCCCGGGGTCTGTGTGATGACTCCGCGCCTCTTGCCCCCACCACGATCCTCCTCTCAGAACCAATCCACAGCAACAGAGGGGAAGTTTCTTCTTGTCTGTTGGCATAGACTCAGCTGAGCTCCTCTTCTCAAAGGAGACCAGTGCCTGGATGCTTGCCCCATTGAGCATATTATTTGTCCACTCTGCCACAAGGATCACACAAAGGATCTATGCAGCCCTCAGTATAAGCTTAGATTCCACAGCAATATCTCTTGCTATGTAACTAGGGAGCCCTGATCATGTGGAGCCTCTCACAGCGACTGGCCAATGTCCCAGCCACATCCTGAGTCTTCCCACACAGCCTCAGTGTTTTCACAGTCCCAGCACCTACTCCCAGTCTATTCTCCCCACCAGACTCAGGAGTCTTCATTGACTGGTTGCTGGGCATGGACACAAGCTGGCACAGTTGTTAAATGGCACCTGCTCTCTGTCAGTTTGCTACAGGCTGCCTTTGCAGGATGATCAAGGAGAGAGAAAACATGTCCTCCCTTTGTTTTTTCTCCTCTGGTTTGGCGGGTCACTATCCCCCACTGGGCTCCAAGGTGGATTCCCTCCAGGCTCTTCCTGCAGCTTTTTGACCAGTGGCTTTGGCTGCTGCAGTCTGGTCTCAACTTGTTCTCCAATGCAGGTGCGAAGGCTTTCTGCTGGTGGGGTGCTAAGTTGTGCACATCTTTGTGCTCCATGTAGGTCCACTGTGTTCCTCCAATTTACATTATGTAGAGTTTCCTCTGCTGTTTTCTCCCTAATTCTTCCCTGAGACTGCTCTCTTTCCACTTTTTTTTAAACTACCTTCTGCTAGACTTGAGCAGCAAGCTTCCTCCGTACTCTGCCCTAAACTTTTTGAGTGAGTAAGGAATCACAGTCTATTTATTTATTTATTTAACAGAGTTAGACCATGAGAGAGAGACAGAGAGAAAGGTCTTCCTTTTCCCGTTGGTTCACCCCCAAAGTGGCCGCTACGGCCAGCACGTTGCGGCCGGCACACTGTGCCGATCCAAAGCCAGGAACCAGGTGCTTCTTCCTGGTCTCCCATGCGGGTGCAGGCGCCCAAGCATCTGGGCCATCCTCCACTGCCCTCCCAGGCCACAGCAGAGAGATGGACTGGAAGAGGATCAACTGGGACTAGAACCCGGTGCCCATATGGGATGCCAGTGGCACAGGTGGAGGATTAACCAAGTGAGCCACGGTGCCAGCCCCATGCATTTTTGGAGAATCTACAAAGAAGTCTGATCCCTCTCCCCACAAAAATGTAAATGTGCCACCACCTCAAATATAGATGGTTGATTTTCAGTAAGATCTGTGGAGTTCCACAGACTTCCAAGTTGAGAATGACAAGTTTACTCAGGAGGGTCAGTGGGGAGCATGTCTTGGGCTCTGGCATTAATGATGGGGTATCAGAATAGGTATGCACTGGCAGATAGTGACCCTGTAGCAAGATTAGGCTGTCCTTTGGTGATGGGGTCTAGGATGAAGATCCCAGCAGTCTGCACTTTCAAAGCTAGGTAAGTGATAAAAGAAGCATTCCAGAGAGGCATCTACCTGGGCTGGTTGAGCAAGAGGAGCAGGCAGGCAGGTTTGGCAGACTGTCTGCCCCAGCAATCACTTCTGTACTTTTCTTGGACTCTACCACCACAGGGGTGTACGAAGGTCCCATTCTGGTTTCCAGTATGATAACAGATCTCTCATCTCTGCTAGCAAGTGAGACACTACCTAGCAATTTGAGCAAGAAATAGATGGAAGGAAGCAAAGGCATTTACCGAGGTCACCATCTTGTTCACTTGTGTATCTATATTTTTGGAGCATGCAACAGAGTGAGGACCTGAGTGTAGAAAATGAAAAGCTCTAGAATATGGTGGTGTGAAATACTGTAACCTTCCCAACCTCTTGTCAGGGCAGGGATTATATGACTACCTCTGAATTATCAAACTGCCTCAGCCTTAGCTCTTCCCTTGGCTTAGGTCTGGAAAATCAAGAATAATAGTCATTAATTTTCTGTAGATAATGTCAGTTGTGAACAAATTCTTTTCCACATTTATTGAACGTTTATTAGAATAGAATAAAATAGAAATGTTTAACAGAAACTTGGACTTTGTTCCTGAAGGAAAAATGCTAGATTATTTACATAAAATGGCCAAGATCATACAAGTGTACTTCTCACTGAAGATTTACTTTGCAGATTATTTTGAAAATACCAACTGCATCCACAAAAATACCCTTTTTCAGAAGCCAGCGATGTGGTGCAGCAGGTTAAGCCACTGCGGTGCCAGCATCCCATACCAGAACACCTATTCCAGACACAGCTGCTCCACTTCCCAACTAGCTCCTTGCTAATGAGCCTGGAAAAGCAGAGGAGAATGGCCCAAGTGTTAGGTCCTTTGCCATACAGGCCGGAGACCTGGACGGAGTTCCTGTCTCCTGGCTTCCAACGGAGTTGGGGACATTTGGGGAGTGAAGCAGCTGATGTTAGGATCTTTGTCTCTTCTTCTATCACTCTGCCTTTCAAACAAAATTATTTTAAAAAATTTCTTTTCTCCCCCAATTTTCAAACAAGTTAGAATGTTCTAAAAATTATGTGTGTGCAGAGTCCAGAGAAAACGTTTTCTGCGTGGTGCAGGTGAACAGAAACAATGAATTTCTTTCATTTTTTTAAAATCTACTTTCTGAGATTGAAGCTGTTCTTTCAAAACCAAAATTTCACAATTTTCAATTTCTTGAAACATGCTGGTTTTTACAAATGAAATGAGGAGAAATTGTAAGCAAGCAGAGAAGACTAAAGCCAAGGCCAAGGAAGGTAGATGTGGACAGAGAGGAAAAGGGGGTGGTGGTGGTTTCAGACCTTCCCTAGTAACCGGAGCGAGGCACACTCCAACCGCAGGGCGGTGATGCCACTTGCGGGCCCTCAGATTGGAGAGGCCGGAGATGAGTGACAGGGCGGTGCGTGGCGCCGGGGCACAGAGCACCGAGGGACGGAAGGGGCGGCCGTGGGCGCGGAGGGGGGATCCTGTGGACCGCCCGCCGTCCGGCAGGGGGTAGCGAGGGGGGGCGAGCGCGGCGGTGACGCGCGGCCGTCACGTGACCCCGAGCTGCAGAGGGACGCAGCCTCGGGTGCAGTCGTCACTCGCGTCTGGCTACCAGCTCCCCGCTGCCCTGCGCTCGGCGGGCTGGCATCGGGCCCGGGCAGAGCGGAGCAGGTGAGGGCCCCGGCGGCCAGGGCGGCAGCGGCGGGCGAGGAGAACAGCGCAGCGGGCCCCGCCGCTTTCTGTTTATACAGTGGCCCCCAGGAGTAGGGGTGCAGGGGCGGCTGGGGTGCTGGAGGGGAGAGCAGCAGAGCAGGCAGGAGCCAGAGGAAGTCCCCCCGCCCCGGGACGCTGCGGGAAAACGGTGAACACCGGAGGGGGCGGGGCGGCTCTGCGGAGGGACGCGGCCGCTGAGGGCCTGGACGGAGGTGCGGGGCCAGGGCGGCGGGAAGGGGCCGGCAGGGGGCGGGGAGGGGGGGCGTAGCGGTGCCGAGAGCTCGCCTGCAGCCGCCCCCTCTCCCCGACCCCGCCGTCTGCAGGTCTGCAGGTCTGAGGCGCTGAGTGTCGCGGCGGCGCGCCGGCGGCGAGAATCGGGAGGAGGAGGAGACCGCAAGGATAGGCCCAGGTCGGTGGGACAGACCGGGGTGGGGGCGGCGGGGGCCCATTCAGTCTGATACACCCCCCCCTCCAGCTCCCCTACCCCATCCCCTGTTCTCCATTTTGATGCCTGCAGAGTTCTGGAAATGCATCTGTAGGGAAAATGGTGGGCCTGAGGTGGGGGGCGGAGGAGAGGACCTAGAGGGAGGGTAGGGACTTAGAGTGGCAGCCCCCTAGAGGGCGCATGGTCTCTCAAGTGCGGAAAAACGAAATTACAAAAACAAAACCACGTTGATATTCAGGAATCTGGATAGTGAAGATTAAATATTAAGTTCTCTGTCCTCGGTGCTGAACCATCCACCCAAAATCCATTCCATTCTCGACTTTTGTCTCCTAGGAGCTATGGAGTCCAAAGAAGAGCAAACATTCACCAACATGGAGAATGCTCAGAAGGAAAAGGAAGAAAAGCGGCAAATTACTAATAAAGAGGAGCCCATGGCCCTCCCTTTGGAAGCTGAAGAATACTTGGTGCCTAGAGGAAACCGTAGACGGTTCCGCACTAGGCAGCCCATTGTGCATTACAGATGGGATATGATGCATAGGCTTGGAGAGCCACAGGCCAGGGTGAGAGAAGAAAATATGGAAAGGTTTGGGGAGGAGTTGAGACAGCTGATGCAGAAGCTGCAGGAAAAGCAGTTGAGTCACAGTTTGCGGGCTGTCAGTACTGACCCCCCTCACCATGACCACCATGATGAGTTCTGCCTTATGCCCTGAATCCTGATGCTTTCCCTCAAGTTCACAGAGAGCCCCTGATTCCCAAGTTTACACGTTTGTGATGTACTGTTGGTGTAAACCTTTTGATGTCACCCATTCTCTTTGGTCTCCTCTTATCAGCTTCTAATTGAATGTTGTATTTTTGATCCAGTTGGTAAGACTTTCGTTTGCAGAAGAATTTTGCCTATTGCATGGAAAGATGTTCATTATATATTGTGAAATTAATAAAGCAGTTTAAAAAGCTATCTCTGTCATTATTTTTTAAATCTTCTATTTAATATGTGAAAAGTGCTGAAATTAAACACAGGATGTGTCAAAAAAAACACAAAATATCAGTACAGGGACTTCTGTAAGATGGGCTGATGTGTTTTATGTAGTCTGAGAAAGACTGAAACACTTTTTAATGAACTTATGAAAGCAGTAGGGCCACTTAATAAATATTGACTGAATTTAGATAGCAGATGAACAAACTGAGGAATTTTTTTAAAAGATTTATTTATTTATTTGAAAGTCAGAGTTACACAGAGAGAGGAGAGGCAGAGAGAGAGAGGTGTTCCATCTGATGGTTCACTCCCCAGATGGCCACAACGGCCGGAGCTGCGCCGATTCAAAGCCAGGAGCCAGGAGCTTCTTCCGGGTCTCCCACGTGGGTGCAGGAGCCCAAGGACTTGGGCCACCTACTGCTTTCCCAGGCCATAGCAGAGAATTGGATCAGAAGTGGAGCAGCCGGGACTAGAACCGGAGCCCATATGGGATGCCAGCACTTCAGGCCAGGGCGTTAACCTGCTGCGCCACAGCGCCAGCCCCGTAACTGAGGAATTTTTATAAGTTGGGATGACATCTGCTTCACACAAGTGTATGATTATTATAAAATTATAATATATAATATTATAAAAATACCCCAATTATCAGATTTTTTCCTTCAAATATTTAGGAAAATTGGTTTCACCAGTCCAGCATAACTCTTAATCCCCTCAGGACTGCAATGTCTATCATGCTGTGGTTTCTGCCTGACCAGGGGCAGATCCTAACAAAAGTAAAAATTATGACTGAGTCAGGAACTCTGAGTTCTTGTCAGTTCAGTTCCTGAATAACTAAATAACCTTGAATATATATAACTTCACTTCCCTAGGAAAGATTACTTTCAATTCTTAAAGGAATCTTGGATTCATTTATTAATGTTTCTAAAGGTATGCAACTCTGCCACTTGTTTGAGAATTATTGGGGCCTTCCTTAAAGATGAAGATGTGGATTCCTGCATAGGTTGAGGATCTCATCTAAATCTGAATAGGGTTGCAGAAATTGAATTATTAGTGAGCTTTCATGGTTCTTCTGATGCACATTAATTTTTAAAGAGCTACTAGGATGTATTTACTATGATCTCAGTACTTAAACAGAAGCCATAATAACTAGAAGAAATAAAGGAGAATATCTGAATACAGTTAAAAGAAGCATTAAGGATGAGAACATTAAAAAGATTCTAAGGTTTATTGCACAAAATTTTAAAGTATGTACCCTAAAGAGTTAGCAATGGGTATTGCTTCTGGGATATTGAGTGATTTTTCTTATTTTTATTCAACCATATTTTTAGTAAAAAGCTTTTACTTAATAATTATACCTTTCATAAGTACAATTTTTGGATTATAGTGGTTCTTCCCCCCATATTCACCCTACCACCCCCAAACCATCCCACCTTCTACTCTCTCTCCCATCCCAGTCTTCATTAAGATTCATTTTTAATTATCTTTATATACAGAAGACCAACTCTATACTAAGTAAAGATTTCAACGGTTTGCACCCACACAGACACACAAAGTATAAAGTATTGTTTGAAGACTAGTTTTAAAGTTAATTCTCATAGTACAGTTCATTAAGGACAGAGGTCCTACATGGGGAGCAAGGGCACAGTGACTCCTGTTGTTGATTTAACAATGTCAGTGCTCACCCAAGGCTCTTGTCATGAGCTGCCAAAGCTATGAAAGCCTCTTGATTCTACAAACTCTGACATTATTTACATTGGGCCATAATCAAAGTAGAAGTTCTCTCTCCCTTCAGAGAAACCTACCTCCTTCTTTCCACCGGGATCTCATTCACAGAGATCTTTCATGTAGGTCATTTATTTGCCAGTGTCTTGGCTTTCCATGTCTGAAACAACCATATTTTTCTTAAAGAAATTGATTACTTGTGCAGAAACTAAATACAAGCCAACAGATTCAGATTTTAAAGAATCCTTCCATGAGCTTCTAAACGCAATGTAGGCACTTTAAAATGTTTAATGTAGGGGCAGGCGCTGTGGCACAGTGGGTTAGACTGCTGTCTGTGGTGCTGGCATCCCATATGGGCACTGGTTTTAGTCCTGGCTGCTCCACTTCCAATTCAGATCCCTGCTAATGCACCTGGGAAAGCAGCAGAAGATGGCCCAAGTGCTTGGACCCCTGCACCCATAGGAGGTGCAGCCTTGCCCAGTCCTGGCCATTGCGGCCATTTGGGGTGTGAACCAGCAGATGGAAGTTCTCTGTCTCCCCCCTTGCCCCGTATGTGTGTAACTCTGCCTTTCAAATAAATAAATCTTACAAAAAGTTCAATGCATTTCACGTTACCCTAGGATATGGCATTCAGACCCTGCTGTAATTACCTTCCTATAGAATAGGCAAAATCACTGAATCCTGTTTCTACTCAACACAATACAGCCGAAGTGATGGGATGCTGCAAAAAATTGTCACTTCCAACTCGCTAGCACACACACTTTCCCCTCCCTGTCACTGTTTTCTGCTAGCTTTGATGAAACTAGCTGCTGTGTTAGAGGCCCATAAAACAAGAAACTGAGAATGTCTTCCAGACAATAGCTAGTGGAATTAGGCCCTCAGTCCAATAGCTTTTGGGGGAACTGGTTCCTGAAAAAATCACAAAAGTGAGTTTGGAAAGATACTTCTCTGGTGTAGTTTCCAGATAAGACCGTGGCCCTGGCAAACATCTTGAGTGCAGTTTTGTAAAAGACCTTGAGGCCCAGATAAACCACACTCAGACTTCTGACTCAGTGAGTCTTTGGGGTAATAAGTGTGTATTGTTTCAAGCTGCTGAGTTTTGTGGTAATTTGTAACACAGCTATAGATAACTAATATAATATATATATATTTAAAAGATAATAACATTTTAAAAACATAACCACAGCACTGTTATCATACATTAAAATGGACATGTCCAGACAGTATTCAAATTCCCCTTAGTTTCATAATTTTAAACTCAAACTATATAAATGAATACAAAATAAATTAGGTGCCTGAGAAATACTACTAGCCTTGTTAGGTTGCAAATGACAGGAACAACTCAAAGCAAAACTGTATGCAAAGAAACTGACCAAAGTGTGCATGTTTTAAAAGAGAATTTCAGATACAACATAGGCCTGGGGCCACAAACTCTAAAAGCCTAGCACATTCTAAGAGAAAATGTAGTTTGTTCTATGCAATGAACATTGAGGGTAAGCTGAGGGTCAAGGAGGGGCATCACACTACAACTGAGTAACCCAAAACAGTCATTTGGTATTCTTATCCCTTCATTTTGCAGAACTCTCGGCAACACAATTATATTTAATCAGACTTGTCAAAATAGGCTGTTTAGAAGAAAAAAAAAACTAGAAAAAGTGGCTTCTAGGCTAACACATTTGGAAATGCAGGCATAAATCATAAGATTACCAATAATCCTTGTGGTTGAGTAAATACCTTCAATGAGCAGTTACATCATTTCTGGACCCTTAAAAGAACCATGGGACTGAGACAACAGGATGAACCATCTATCATAAGCAACCATGGCATTATACAGTTTCATTGAATAAGGCATGGAATATGTCACCAAGGAGCCACTTTTTTCAGAAGTGCAAAACTTAGGGGGTGAATAGAAATACCTCTGTGGGTTCTGAAGTTCTCAAATACTAGAAATATAAGAATTATAAATTGGAAAACCTGAGAGCCAATGGATATAATTTTCCATCTCTGTGAATAAGGCAAGAAATTCTCTGTGAATATGATACTGAAAAGGTTGAGAATATTCTAATAAACATCATACAGAAGTAAACTCATGGAGATAGGGCCATAAAGTGCTTCGGGAAAGAAAATGATAATAATATGCCCACAGAAGCAGAGTCTTAGAGATCCTTTAAGTGGCTTGAGGTTTAAACAGATGTAGAAATCCAGGAAAAAATTTTAAAATGTATTAGGGAAGGAAAAAGTGAGAGATAAGAAGTGGCATAACAGAGAAAGATGTGAAAACAGAACATAAAACAATGAGCTAAGGGCAATTCTTATCATCATATTCAGCTGTATTCAGAACAGATGTTAATGAGTGCATACTCAATGTACTAAAATAGATTTTGAAAAGAAGAATAAAGAGCAGTTTCAGTTGATGGGGAATTTATAGTAAGGTGTTCTAACAGAAATGGAAAATAAAATTGTCTTCTGATGTCAAAGTAGTAAAATCCACCACACATATTATAAATCATTTTAATCTGCTGGAGCCAGTGTAAAAGTCTGGGTTCTAATAAAATATTTATAGCACCAGAGGAAAAAGTGGATGACCAAATATAAAGATAAGTTTTTAAACACTTTACAACCATCCTCAAACAGAAATATCAGATGCTTTAACAGTGACAAAGGAAGCTGTATACTGATACATTTTTATATTATTTAACTTATTGGAAAGGCAGATAAAGAGAGTGCTCCCATCCACTGTTTCACTTCCCAAATGCCCAAAAACATCCAGGCTTGGGCCAGGCTGAAGCCAGGAGCCAAAGATTCAATCCAGGTCTTGCACATGGGTGGCAGAAACCCCAGTACCTGGCCGGCACAGTGGCTCACTTGGCTAATCCTCCACCTGCGGCGCCGGCACCCTAGGTTCTAGTCCCGGTTGTAGCGCCGGATTCTGTTCCGGTTGCTCCTCTTCCAGGCCAGCTCTCTGCTGTGGCCCAGGAAGGCAGTGGAGGATGGCCCAAGTGCTTGGGCCCTGCACCCACACGGGAGACCAGGAGGCCTGGCTCCTCGGTCGGTGCAGTGCGCCATAGCTGCCATAGGGAAGACCTTTCTCTCTGTCTCTCTCTCTCTCTCTCTCTCTCTAGAGAGAGAGTTATATACAAAGTATATGTACAGAGTTATATACATAACTCTGTCTGTCAGAAAGAATGAAAGAAAGAAAGAAAGAAAGAAAGAAAGAAAGAAAGAAAGAAAGAAAGAAAGAAAGAAAGAAAGAAAGAAAC